TGCTCTTTTCCCCTTTTTTTTTTTTTTTTTTTTTTTTTCTCTTTTTGTCCCTTAAAAGTCCAATATTCTCAAATAACTCTAGATATATATATATTTTTTTTCCATTTTATCCATTCTGCTTGTATGACATCCTCATTAATTTCCCATCATTTTTGTAAAATTTATCATAAGAACTCTTCCTATGGTAACATTGCCAATCCAAAGCCTGGGAAAAGGAGGGCTGTGTTAGGCCATGCCAAGAAATTTTGGCTTGCTGTCTGCCCTACTTATATTTTGTTCTATTAATATTACAAGTTTATTTTCAGCCCTTAGTTGATAATTAAGGCTGATTCATGATACAATTGTTAGAAAAGAATAATAACTGCTAATATTATTTATAATATTCAGCCCATATAATAGAAAACAGAATAAAGGCAGATTCCCTGTTTAACATGCCCTTGACAGTCAATGTAAAAGTGGTCAATATATCAAACATGGACTGGATCATGCACACTTCTGAAGCATCAATGAATTCCTCAAGGTTTTTTTTTTTTCAAACTGCAAGAAGCCAAGAATACATTAATAATTGGGAACAAAATACTGATGACTGTCAGAGGTTGCCTCAGCCTTTTCTTTACCTTTAATTTTGGCTACGAGATGTTTGTTTGTCATATATTGATGCTAAGTCTATCCAACAAAACCATCAAAATACTCTTCTTATTTATTTCACCATTTGGAATGGTTATATGAATGAGAACAAAACAAATCAATGGATTGTCCTTCTCTATCACCATTCACCATTATAACGAGTTAAACTGTCCTCATTTTTCACAAGTGGTTTTAGTTACAAAATTACATGAATTCTATGAACTGTGAATAATGCATTTTTGGCTTCACAAGTCATTCTATCCTCTAATTTCCCCCTAGCATACAAACTTTGAGTTTTATCTTTAAATATTTTCTCTTTTTCTTTCTTGGCTTGACTGTCCAGCATATAGACGTTTGTTTGATCCAACTAAAGTTTATGCTTGTGTGCCAGGTTCAAGTTCTTGGTAGTCTCCAGCACCCTCATCTATTAACTTTGCTAGGTGTTTGCCCTGAAGCCTGGTCACTTGTATATGAGTACTTGCCCAATGGAAATCTCCAAGACCACTTATACCAAAAAAGCAGTCTTCTCCCTTTGACTTGGAATATCCGAGCACGGTGGATTGTCGAAATTGCTAAAACTCTCTGCTTCTTACATTCTTCCAAACCACAAACTATTATCCATGGTGGTTTGACACTCGAAACCATCCTTCTTGACTCTTCATTTAGCTGCAAGATATGTGAATTTGGGTTCAGC